AAGTTCATCTTTCTCGTTTTTGGTTTTTGTGGGGGGGCGGGGCCGGCGATGCGACGCCACGTGGCGCCATCAAAAGTGAGAAAAAAACTTCCCTGCGGCCGACACGTGGCCGCGAAGGCGCACGTCCGCGGGCTTCGCGGCTTGGCCGCGGTTGTCCGCCGCCAAGGGGGATTCATAGTCCATCACGCGAACAAGGGGCGCAGGCCGTCGAATATTGAGGTATGCAGCTACGTCTGGGTCAAGATGTCTGAATTCTCAGAAGAAGAGGGAGTCTCTTGCAAACTTCTCCCACTGTACTATGGCCCATGGGAAGTGTTGGATGTGATTGGTGAGGATCACTTTAGGCTTTCGTACGTAGTCGAAGTGGCACCACATCTACGAACCTATCCCTGTATCTCCACCGTGATGCTAAGATGTTTGACTACCGAGAAGACATGATTCCCCGTGCAATCAAAGGTGGACATGAGATCGACAGGATCAAACAACACGTAGGGAAGGGACGCAACAGACAGTACCAGGTTCACGTCATGTATCACCCTCTCGATGATCTGTATTGGATTTCCAAACAGGAACTGCTACGAAGTGCACCGCGTGTTGTCAAAGCTTACGAGCGACAGATAGCCACTAACGCTGAACCTAAAATCGCTGCAAAGCTCACTGCAATGAGTACACTAGGAACGTCTTCGCCTTGTTTGCTTACGACGCCTTCGTCGAGGACTCAGAATGAGTTACTCGCTTGAAGGGACCTCGCTCTTGAGGGGGGGGTAGTGTGATGACCCGTCCGAACAAGGAGTGGAACACATAGTTGATTTCTGAGTTTTGCCCATAGACTGAATGCCTGACTGAGTTTCCCGCTTTCTACTAAGTCTGTGTATGCGGGCTTGCTGGACTGCATGTCTGTCTGAGTGCGGGTTGGTGTGAGTGTGTGTGACCGTGCCTGTTTGAGTGCTGGTTGACTTGAGTGTGTGTGTGACCGTGCTTGTCTGTGTGCCGGTTGCTTGAAAGTGGCCCGTAAGGGCACCTGTTCGTTCGCTGGGCCCTCAGGGCCGATACTTACCTGTGGCCTTGGCGTCGGGGGATTGCAGCGGGAAAACACTCAAGTAGCGGGAGGCCGGTACCGCACTACGAAGGGGTAGATGTGCGGGTACTGAAGGCCGAGCAGAAGAAGACAAAAGTGGCATTTTTAGAGGTCAGTAGTTGTAGGCTAGGCCTAGGTAGGTACCAGTCCAACCAGTCGGAGTCTAGGGCCTATACGGGCAATATCAGAGTCTACAATGATGTTTCCCTCCGAAACGGAGGAGGTACCGGTTGCTGGAGAGGCCGAGCGGCCTGGAAGTCACCGCCCAAGGAGGCAAGCAGGCCGCTATATCTTCGGACCAGGCGAAGAGCCCGGCCTCGTTCTCAGTGTGCAAGTTTGGCGACACGTTGGTGGAGCGCTAGGTGGAGCAGTGCTGGGTTGGAATAGCGCTGCAGGGGGAGGAAGAAGAAGGACACGGAGGAAGAAGGAGGAAGGAGGAGGAAGAAGGAGGAAGGGTGTTGCATACTGTAACGTGCAGACCAGAACAAGAACCGACCTTTCAATACAAAGTATAAGATAGCACAACGGAAGACTTAGATACTAGTGATCCG